ATAATTAGCATTAATTAGATAAATCCTGCTGTGTGACCTCGTTTCATTTGCTGGCACAGCCATAACTGCTGGACTCTGCAGCAGGGAGGCCAGGCAGAACCCAGGGAGGAGGCTGTGGAAGGGTGAGAAGAAGGTTCCTCCTCTGCAGCAACGTTCCTCTTGTGCTGAGAGGTGGTGGAAATGCTGACTGTGTTAGGACTGGCCTAGATCAAACATTTGGCATGAGCTTTAAGGAGAGAATTGGTAACATGCTTCTTCAAACATCCAAATGTCTTAACAATCTGCTTACAGAGGTTTTGGTTAAAGACAGGCTGTGTCACCACACCAGTGACTGGCACTGGAACAGGCCTCCAGCCAGGACAGGGCTGGTTGCTGTCTGCAGGCACATCTCTGACCAGCTGGGGACCTGCCTGCCGACCGGCGGTAGCCATTGGGTTACAAGTGTGTCTCTCATCCTACGTCTTTCTTTCTCTCTCCATGTTATTCTCATTAGCACAGAAAACAGAGAAGGGAAAAGGTCCTTGATGCTGGGATCAGCAGAGGAACAGGAGGAGGGTATGGGGGCTGTGGAGGGAGCCAGAGGATGGGAGGAAAGAGTCGTCACCCTGTCACAGATTAGATGTTTGAGCCTTTTAACTCAATAAAATGCCAAGCTGCAAATCCCCCTCTAAGGGGGCTGCGAAGGCACTGGCAAGCGTTCTTCATCAGAGGGGCAGAAAAGGGGCTCTGCGGGGTAGGGCAGGAGAGGTCCTTCCTTTGCCCAGCAAGTGCAGCCGTGGGTTGAGGCTGGGTGGCAGAGCTCCAGGGCTGCACCATTCGTGCATCCCACTGCCCGGCCACCCCATGGGCTAACAAGCATTTGCAGAGTTTCCCAGGTGGCCCGTGGCAGCCTGAGGGCTGCATGTCCCAGTTATCTCACTGCTGTTGAGCGGTGAAGAACCGCAACGCTCACCTGGGGAGAAATGTCTCATCACAAAGAATGCTCAGTACCCTGGTATGTGTTGATGACTTTACAGCCTCTCGCCATAAGTAGTTCAATGTTTGCTTTTCTGGGGTTAAAAGGGCCAAGGGTTTAGAACTGGGTCTGAGACACAGAGGAAGATGCCTGTCCCTGCGCAGGACTTGTACAAAGCAAAGCAGAACCAAGCGTGATTTGGACAGACTGCAGATGGGGAAACAGAGTCACAGAATAGTTCAGCAACATTAAATTAAGCCACATCCAATATAGCACCAAGTCTGAGGATTACAATGTACTAAAAGCACACCCAGCTTCTCAATCGCAGCTCTGGGTCCTTTGCTTGTAGAAATGCTGCTAGGGGATTTGCATACTTGCAGAGATTTTTAAATGACAAAGTAGGAAAGAAATAAGAGTTAATTCTTGTGGTTACTGACATTGCCATTTCTGTTCAATGGAAATAACGTCCCTGCTTTATTTCTTTACATAGCTAACATCATCATGGACCTCTTTGAGCACCATGTTGTGTTTAGATATGTAAAATACCGTGCGTCCAAAACCTTGGCTTACAAGCCCAGTTTTGCAAATGGAAGACAGTTTGCGAACTGGGAAGTGTAAGTAGGATTGTGAGCAAAAAAGGTCAGGAACTTCTAACTTCACATGAATATTTTATATAAACCTTAAAGAAAAAAATAAGGAACCAGATGGAAAAAAACAAAACAAATCAATAAATACATCCTAAAGGACAGAACACTTCTATTTATGAAAATATTAAACCACGTTTATAGGATAGAATAATTGAACTGAAAGAAGACCTTATTACTTGCAAATTTGTTATGTGATGCAGCTGCGGGGATACAAACCCGTTCTTGAGTGACTTAGATATCTTTCTTTTGCTTTCCTCCATTTCTTTTAAGCCTTAATTAGAGCCAGATGTTTCTTATTTCCTTTCTTTTTTGTTTTCAAGTCTGAGTAAAGTGTGATGCCAGCAGTAAACACCATCTTTGACATTTTTTTATGTGTCAACGGCATCTAGCTGAGCCGGAATCACAGAACAGTAAAATTCCAGCAAAGGAGGTGCAAGCTTTTCCTCCTGCTGTCATTCCCGTCAGGAGCAGGAAATGGGCATTACTGCTTCTGGGCCTGCCATACAGGAGCCATAAAACCCCAGAGTGTGTCTGAGAACCTTGTCCCTGGTAAATAACACTGGAGTCAGGCTGGAATGCTGTTATACTATGAACGCAGCTTTCCCTCTCATAGTCTTAGAGTCCTGGGAGCAATTTCTAGTTGCTCAATTGCTGCTCAGTTGTATAGATGTGCAGTCTATTTTCCATTTCTTCTTTCTCCTCCCCAGTGAGGCAATGGCTGGTAACCACAGTATGTAGGTGTAACCATTTTTGCTCCAATTTCATGCCCTTACTGTGACATTGACCTCTTAGGTGCCATCCCCTGCAGAATATTTTGTCATTAAATGACAGTGGTTTATGTATGAGAGCTTTTTTTCTGAAGCAAATTGCAAAATATGCTGTAGTATTTATAATTATGTTTTCCAACTGCTTTTAGAATGTATTTTCATTCTAAGAAGTGTTTAAAATACAGACATCTGTGAACTGCAACCATTAGAAATTACTGCTCTGAAAAAGTCATCTGAGGACTAGTTATGCCTTATGTGGCAAATATTATGCTTTTTATTCCCACATATTTTGAGCAAGCACATATTTTACCTAGAATAGATTTTGAAGGGAAGTGCCCAGCAGTTTTCCAGTTGTCTTTCTCCCTTTTAACAGATGTGCTGTTGTTGTGCAGTCCTTGGGAGTCAGGCTTGTTTCCACTACTGCACACGCTAAAGGGCTTTTTGGATAAAAAGCTATTCTGTTTTCTTCCACCAACTTCTGTACCAGGAACTCCTTCCCCAACTGCTGTAGTTCAGAGGAAATGAACCATATGGGAGGAGGGCATTAAGGTACCAGATATACCAAACTTTTCTAGTGCCTCAGTTTTAAGGATGAATGAACCTGTAGGACTGAAAATCCTTGATGCCAAATTTATTCTTAGTTCAAGCTAAGTTTAGATACAAGGGAAAAAAGGTGTTTATTTACAGAATATAGAAAAAATATCACAGTTACTAAGCTTTACAGAGATGAAGATAATTTAAATTAGAGAAAGTCACATTTAACCCATTTATCCTCATGGTAAAACCTTAATGGGTTCCTTCCCTCCTGTCAGACGAGCTCCTCATCTTACACGTGTGCCTTTATCGGTGATGCCAAAGGAGTATACCCTTTACAGCACAACCATTCCACACTACAGGCGTTTTCAGTCCACGCTACAGGCATTTTTGGACTCTAGTTTTGTCCCAGGGATGCAGATGCCCATTAGCACTCGGACCACACAGGGCACAATGCTGGAGAGAACCATTGAACTTGGTTTCTCATGAAGGGACTCCAGATCCCACGCTCTGATTCTTCTCCATGGTGCAAACCCTGGTGCTTAAGTTAGGACAAGTGGGTGAGGTCCAAAGCACTTTCTTGATCCAGACTAAAATGTGAGACTAAGTGCACCTGGTAGAGTGGTCAGGGACCCAGGATCTGCAGGACCAGCCTTGCCTTTAACATGCCAGCTTGGAGATGCTCTTTTCCCCCCGAGACATCCTGTTCCTTGATTGTCCAGGGGGTGGTGTCACCCTGCTTTCCTTTGGCCTGCTGACTCCAGAGCCCATTCACAACATTGAGTGATCTGTCTTGGGCCCAGGCAACACCGTCCCAAGACCAGGCTCCCCATACCATACACAAGTGCCTCCATGCTTCACGCTAACACCAATGCAACTGTGAGGTCCTGAGTCATCTCCACAGGTGGAAACATTTTCCCATTGTGAGCCAAGCTTCTGCCACACACTGAAACTAGTCTGTTTTACACAGAGCCAATGCCAAAATGTGCATTTTACATGATTGCACAAATGGGATGGGGCAAGCAGCCTGTCATAAGCTTTTTGTTGAGGTCAACCATGATAGTAAGCAGTCACGCCTGTGATGTGGTTGGAGATAGCTGACCCCAGCCCCAGCTCCAGGGGATATGGTGACATTGGTACATTTGATTTTCTAATGCAAACCAGTTGATTCCCCAGCTGATTTATTTAAAGCTACTCCCAGATTTTTGAAGTTTCTGACTGGTAGTTTCCAGAAGTTCTACGCAACTCTTTCAGATTTGTGAGCAACCAGATGAAATGGGAAATTAGAAAGTGCTGACTTTCTCCCCCTTACCTGGTCCTGGAGAAATTTTGAAGTTTTCTTACATACAAGTAAGTCCATCCCACCCAAAGTTCTCCATAGTTGACTAGAAAAATCACTGTCTGTCAAATATGTAGCAAAGTGGTATTAAATTCATAGAATGAGGAAGGAAAGCCATAGGACTGTAATCTTTAATGAATAATCAATTTATCCCCCAAATGCAGTGTGAGAGTGACCAAACCCATTTGCTAATTTTTGTCAGATATGGTCTCTAGTTTTAATTTTAGAAATTGGTGAAAAATGTGAAGAGGACAAACTCTCTGCCAACACTTCTTCGAGTATCTAATTTTTTTCTTTCAGAATGCATTTTCATCTTACAGCAGGAAAAGGTTTTTGTGGGTTTTTTTAAGGAGAAAGGGAAGAAAGTCAAATAAAATCCTAGATGTTTTTATTATTAGACTTGCGAAAACTAGAAAGAACCTGTTCTTGCAGTTGTGTTTACTTGTCTTGCTGGCTTCTCCATCACATATGACAGAGGAGACCCAATCCAAATCTGGGATCTCCTTTTTCTATAACATTTGATCTTTGTAGATCTGTGAAGCTCTACTGCCCAGACCTTAAAAGGGTTGTTTTCACCTGTGTTGTAAATGACAATTAAATAGTAGAATCAAGGGAATTTGACAAGGCAGCACTGACCTTTCCTGAATTCGAGTGCAACTCATTCAAATGTCAGGGTGGGCTACGACGGTAATATGTCTATCCCACCCCACTCCCATAAGTGGTTATTTTTTTCCCCTGAAAACATGACAGACATCTCATATGAATAAATCAATTTTATTTAAATAAAATTACAGGCATATTTTGTCTATTATAAACTAATATATAGTTATTCAAAGGCACCAATATTTTAAAATAATTTAAATTTCTTGAGAGCAGCTACCTTTTTCTGAGTGGTGTTTATAAACTTGTCAGACTTCCCTCCACTCATTCAACTCAAGCAAAATCTGTTGCTAGGGAAATGCTGAATGTTGTACCTTTTTCATTGTAATAGGTATGGACTGTTCCTGGGCATCGCTTTTGAACAATGCTTGAGAAGAACAGGTCAGGTGTTCTGCATAGTAAAAACCCACCCTAAAAGGGCATGTTTCTTTCCTTTGTGGCACCAAAAATACATCCAGCACAAAACTCCACTATTGACACTCACTCTGCATGGGCTGTAATTATCAAAAATTAAATCCGGGAGATTACTGTTTCTTTGAGGCTTCAGGATCTGTTTTTCCTTCCATTTCTTCAAGCTTAATAATGCAATGCCAACTTCTCTTATGCAAAGAGAGTTTTTGTGAGAAGGCTGCCCTACAGTTCTGTGTCACAGACTGTATTAACCTCCAGGTTGGGCTTCTTTAAAGGCACCTTTGCTAAGCATGGTTGCACCAAAAAAAAGCAGACGTGTATGGTGGGTTTATTCGTCCAGTTCTCTGATCATTTACGGGGGATTCACAGCAGGGAGACAGAGTGAGATAGAGGTGATACCTCTCAGCAGGTTAAGTCCTGCTCAGGTTTTCTCCCAAAAAACCACACAGACCTACAGCTACTGCTGGGCCAGTGCCTGGGCACAGGTAAGGAGAGAGCCAGAGCCACCAGGCTGAGGAGATCACAGGAGGAACTGCAGCAGGCAGCCACTCTTCTGGCCATCGCGTTCCAGTACTGGCACGTTTTGTTTCTGAAAAAGCAGGTTTCTTTCTAAAGGAGAGTTTGCTAAGCACCCTCCACTTCAACTGATCTTGGCTTATCAAGGCAGACTTTTGTAATAATCTTCAAGTTCCCTTTAATACACAGCCATCATCTTCTCTGCCCAGCACTGCAGAAGCTTTATACCCCAGCCACGCTAAGAGGAAAAATTCTGCCCTTTAAAAAAATCCCAACAATTTAGAGACAAGAGTGATGTGGCATAATGAAGGTAAAATTATAGCTGGGTGTCACGACGTGCTGCATTTGGCCACTGTATTCCTGCTGCAATTAACAGGCAAGCTCCTCAGCAAAGCCATGGATCTTCCTTCTGGCTTATGCCAGCAGAAAATCTCATTGTAATGGAACCACAGTAATGAAACTAAAGTCTTAGATCTGCAGAGCTGAGTAAATACCAATTAATTCAGAGTTTACAGTGAGACCACTGCAAAGCTGATATATAGACCTACAAAAATGCCATACTAATACTGAGCTTACAAGAATGTCCTCGGACAGACTTCATTAAAGTTTGCCAAAACCTCCAAGGCTCTTCAGAGAAAGGCACTGAAGAAGGGCAAGCAATTATTAAGAAAGGTGGTGATCTTTGGCTGTGCATCTGCAGTTTCCAGTTTTACATTTTCAAACACAGAAATTTTGTCTGTGAGCCAACTATTCTTACTTTCCAAAGTAGATTCATCTGGATAATCTGACACCTGGATGCAAGTGTCACTACACGATACTTGGCAAATATCTAAAATATTTTTAACTTGCCAACTGAAGTGTTCTAAGTAAACATATCAAAGCTCAGCCAATTTATCATGCTTTTCTTCCTGCTTAAGTTATCCCTTTAGTTTAGAGATACAGCACCATAATATTTTTACAGTATTAAATATAACTTATCAAGAAAAGCAGTGAAGAAACTTGCATTGGTCCTGACTATGAGAAGCAAAGTACTTTCTGAAGATCTCCTTCAGAATAAATGACCTCCCTGACTTTGGAAAGGCATTAATAAACCTGGAAGGCTAAAATTCAGCATTAAGAGCATGTGCAGCTAAGGAAGGTTCTCCTAGAAAATGAGAAGGTGAAAAATGGGTCCTGAAAATGAAGTGAATGTGTATTTTGTATTGAAGTTGAAATACTTTAGGAAAATCCTTTAATTTATTCTTTTTTGAGTCCTGGGATCCCTTTGAGCTACAAACTATTTTATTGCCTGTCTTTTTAAGTAATTGGCTTACTGCAATTATTAATTTTATGCTACTCATTTTTATGGATTGCACTGAAAAAATTCTAGGAGCAACTCAAAAGTAGAGGGACCAGAGCCTATAGCTCTCATTCATCTGCCGGAGTTGAGCCCTGCATTCCCTTAGGAGCACCTGAAAATATTCTAATAACAGAAGGAACACACTTCTGCAGCACCAAACCTGATGCACTGGTACAATTTGAACAGAATTTGTTGTCCTGCACTAGCCTGTTTCCAAAAATAACTAGAAAATAATACTTTTAGAAGGTGTTCTAAAGGGAAGGGCTGTTTTCTAGAATGATCACCTTATCACTGATGGATATGTAAAATGGCCCCTGGCCACCAGCACACATCCTGGGCTCTGAGAAGCAGAGGACATGTGCAGGGGCCCAGCAAGTGCTCCTTGCTGCCCATCTGCCCCTGCAAGTCTTCTGAAAAATGTATTAGAGACAGAGTGATACTTCACAGTCTGCCCCACAGGGGTAGTGTGCTTACACACAGCATCATCTTCTGCTGTCTTTAGCCATGTATCAGTTATGTCCCTTTTGATGAGGTTGGAGCACATCCCAGGCAACACTGAGCGCTGAGGAGGGCACCCTGTTTTTCACTGAATGAAGATTCCCCTTTTCGTGGAGAAAATAAATGCAATTTTTAAAAAAAATTAAGTCATTCACTGCTGTGGGCAGCTGGGCATGAAGCTATTATAAAGGCAACATCTGCCCTCCCATAGCTCACTGTACAGCACTGCGCGAGCTGCCTGGTGATTGCAGGGGTGACACAGGGAACAGGATGCAAATCCATCTCATTCTGCTCACAGATGAGCATTACCTGCTCCTGACCCAGGTGCTGGGTCCAGTCACGTGTCTCTATGAACCCTGTTGAAATTCCACCAAATTCCACCCAAAGAAAGGAAATAACTTTGAAAAGAAACTGGCTTTGCAGCTGGGTGCTATCCCACTGGTGACTCCTCAGCCTTTCTGGAAAAGAAGTTGCTCCAGGCACTGAGGGAAAGCAGAGTCACTTCACTGCCTTTCAAAGTCAAATGTTGCAAAGAGGCAGGACTATCTAGGCATGAGAATGAATAACTACAGTGGCTTTTGATCATCATACACATCTTTGGCTCTCCTACCAAGCTTGGTAATATCTCTGCAGGAGTGAACACACTACACACTCTTCAAGGAAACACTGAATGGATTTGCGGTGAGTAGTTCTTTCATTTTAACATAAAGCCACAAGCAGAGACATGAAACTGTTGCACAAGGCAGCAGCAAGATTCTGATTTTTTTTATCCTAGAGGCATAGAATTGTCTAGGTTGGAAGGGACCTTAAAGATCATCGAGTCCTCCCATCTTGTTCTACTGTTTTCCAGGTCTACACAGTTACTTATGCACAGTCACTTGCAGAGCAACAAACACACTTATTTGGAAACCCTAATTATGGAAACTGAACAGCCTGTTCAGCAGCAGCTGGAAAACATTTTGCTTAGCTTTTAATGAGGCAAACACACAGGCTTCATCATGCCACCTCATCCAGTCCAAGTCTGTCCAATATTAGTCCAGTTTTCATTGAAGCATGTGATAAGCAAGGTACTAGTGCAACCCCCACAAACTGATATCGAGCTTACCCTCTGCAAATAAAGATGTAAACAGTACTCAGGGGATGATATTTGCATACTGAGCTGTAGTGAAGAATGAATAAGATGGCAAACAAATCTAGGAATGAGGTATCAATTAGCCTAATGGTAGAGCAGATAAACTAGTCAAGCCATATTCATGCTAAATTTCATCTTCTGACTCCTGATCTCGTTCAGATGTTTTCAGTAATCCCATTTCCATGGACTGGGACTGTTTAACCTTTGAACGAACTGCCCTGAAAACAACAACAAAAAACAGAAGAGCTGTCAATAGTGACTCAAAGGCTCATCTGGCCATTTTTACGTGGTAAAAAATTGTTTAACTCTTCCATCACATCGGAGAATTAGGATGATTGATTTATGAAAACTTGAAGTGGGCTACCATGGAAGACATTGTAAAGAGGAGCGAGTGATTTCCAGCAGAAATTTAACCCCAGGCCTTAATTGTAGATACCTGCATTTTAACATGAGAGACCACTATACAATGCAAGCATAGATTCTGACATTAGTATGTGTTGCCTTTAACAATACCCCCTGTACAAGATTGTTCCTATGGACACATCGAAGAGTGTACACCATAGGAAGTTCAATGTTGTGCAGGTACAAGACTGATAGCTGTGTTCACTTGGAAGGGTACTATAAAGCTGTGGAGAAGAGTGGCCAACCTTCACACAGATGGGAACTCTGCTCAGCGTGTTGTGATCGACCTGGGGGGCTTTTCTGATGCTGCAGCAGTTGCTGTTCCCAGCATCCAGAGGGATGTAAGATTGCTGTCTCCTTCTCTATAGTTGCCATCAACACAACAAACTGGTTACCCAGCCTTGAGTGTCGGTGCCTTTTGGAATGAGATCCAAAAAGACATGGCACCTCCTCGGCGCAAAGCAAGACTGCAAGAACTAAATATGGCCAAAATATGATTAAATAGGGCCATTAAGGTGGTAGGGGGAAAGCACAGGGTGAGAAGCATGTTTAAATAATGCAGGAAAAGGTTTTGGTAAGATCCTGTGGGCAGAAGAACACATGGCAGAATCAGGCTCAATTTCACGGAATTGTTGGAGTTGGAAGGGACCTCTAGAGATCATCTAGTCCAACTCCCCTGCTAAAGCAGGATTGCCCAGGGCTCATTACTCAGGACTGCATCCAGATGGGTCTTGAAAATCTCCAGAGAAGGGGACTCCACGACCTCCCTGGGCAGTTGTCAGAATTAGCATTGGGCAGCAAGAAAAACGGCTAACTTTAGAAATTAAGGGATGAAACTGGCAAGTGAAAAAAGAATCACGTCTAATCACAGGAAATTGCTAGCAATGAAACCTGTCCAATATTCTTCAAAGTTAAGTCATGAAGCCTGCTGACTAAGCCACTTGGAATTAGTAGAGATGAGGACTGGGAGAGAAGACCTTGAAGGAAAAAAAAAGGTCTCTCCTCCGTCTAGATTTTTGTGCACTTACGAATGTGGAAGACTATCAAAAAGAGCTCATTTTATGTGAGAAGCATTATGCTGTCAGAGCTGTACTTTATGAATGTTTTTCCCCTTTCTAGTGAAGCAGTGAGTCACATTGTCTCCATTGATTAGCAGTATCTATTCTTATTTTACCTTGCAAGATAGTTACGTACTTTGTGGAAACCTTTTGGTTTGTCAGTGAAGTTTTTATAAAATAAAGCTCCTGCTAGACAAAATAGACAGGTCTCCAAAGTTTTACTGTTTCAAGTAACTTACCAGCTGACGATTGTGTAATTCACTGCAAGTATAAGAAAAGCGAAGGCATAATGCCAGCAATAACACATGGTCAGGAACATCATATTAGTATGATCCGTCTGATTCCACTCTGGGCTCCCATTTGGGGGATAAAGCACAAAACCAATCTGTAATAAAATAAAAGATATTTAGGAAATGTTATTTGATGTATGTCCTACGCTGTATAATCCTACCCATCACATGGCAGACGTTTTATTCTTTTATAGTGCTGATTATTCCTGTGATTATTATCAAAAATAATTTTGCTCAGATGAAATGGATCATTTTACAGTTTTGTGCAGAAATGCCTTTTGAGCTGGTCCTAGAGACCCTCTACTCTTGGAAAGCGAATGAAGGAGCCAGCCCAACAAGTCCTCCATCAATCACAATTGCGCACTGTAGGGAAAGGGACCGGTGCTCAGCTGCTTACGATCTGAACCACAAGCACATCACCAACCAGCAAATCTGCCCGGCCATTTGCACTGACTCATTTCTTCCCAACAGTGTCTGGGAACGCATTACATGGTTCAGAAGATGAATAATAAATTAATAAACAAAGGTAAGCATAAGTCTATTTCTTGTGGGTCATGTGGGAATGGGTGTCAGGTTTTGAAATTATGTAAAAAAGGAGCTTTCTCACCCAAGGCTATAAGTTCATGTGCAATACATATCTGATTTGTTTATTCAGAGCTGGGAAAGATCAAATTCAGATTAATGCATAAGCTGGGAAACTAGTAAACCGGTGGCTACGCAGGGGTCTGCCTTGACAAGCACCAGTCCTCTCTACTGCCTAATACCAAAAAAAGTCACCACTCAGCAGTTTAGCTGAGAATTTAGGAGCTGGGAAGAGGATGGGAGGAAGGAGGAGGAGAGAAGTGCATTTTGCATTTCCATGTAGAGAATTCAATGAATGAGGGTGTTGATGCAGAAAGAAAGTCCCTTCACCTTTTACAAATTTGTCGTGCTGCAGCCAGTGTGTGGTTTTCAGTCACACATATGGTTGAAGTCTGATGCAGTTGTGAAAAAAGTCACACTTAAATATCTTGTATTTTTAGTTCTTCATTTTTTTTACTTTGAAACAAAACCCACATTGTCTCCAGAGCTAAAGAAATGACTTGTTCTAAAATTAGACTAGGCAGAGGACAAAGAATAAATGATTGCATCTAATTCCTCTTACGTAAATCTTCTTAAATCACCAAAGAAAAGTTTACAAACAAGAAAATAAAACACCAAGTGCTGCAGCACCAGGTTCCTGAGCTCACTTACAGAAAAATACTGCTGTTTCGGAGGTCTGTTTTCTTGCCAGAGCAAGTATTTAAATATTTGATTTGGTGCTGAGCGTCCAGTTCTCCTAAGGAACAGCAAACGTTTTTATTAATCGTGTCTGGCCAGCATATAAAAAAGGGAAGCCAGTCTAGACATGCCGGAAAGAAAAAATCACTGGAGTGACCTCAGTTCTCCACTATAAGATGAAACACGCATCGGCACCAGCGCTCCTATTTCTTTGTTATAAGATCGCAGCAATTCATCAAATTCTGTCTCTTGTTTGACAGCACAGAAAGGGTCACTATCAAGTATCTATTAATTGGATAGAATCACAAGTAAGTGAAAGCACAGCAGCTACATTTTGAAGAGTCCTTTTGGGAGCCACATCCCTGAAATATAAGTGTTTGGGCTGTTTCTTCTTCTGCTCCATGTCCCGAACACTGGAAAAGCAGGAGATTTTATATCAATCAGTCTCTTAATGCAAATTGGGAGCTCAAATACCTTTTAAACCTAGGTTGCCACTCTTGAAATGCTTTTCAGAAAGTAGAGAGAGGCAGACAACATGAAAGATAATTTGTGCCTTTGTTCAATATACGCTCTTCACGCAATGTCAATGGGTGCTTTTCCTCCCCTATCCAGTACTCAGCTGGACATCTACTGACCGCTCTGGCAGCTGGCAGTGGGGATGGGGACTGTCTTTGCAAAGAACAGTATATATTGTTGGGCTATAAAATCACTGCCATTTGGCTGGAGAATTTTCAACAGGATGTTAGAGAGATCAGAGGGGATGTTAAGCCGCAAGGGAGAGCTCAACAAAACCATCTTAGCTTTTTTATTGATTCAAATAAAAGACAGTAGAAGTAAAATGGTTTCTCGGTCTGTAAAACAGAGATGATAAATAATTTTGTCTCTTTAATGGGACAATAAGAGTGCATTGTTTTCTATGAGTCCTTTGATGTCTGTGTTTAAAAGGCATGTTATATCACCTGTGAAACACCTGCAAAAGGGTAAGTGACAAATTTTGGTGAAGGAAGAAATTCCTAAGGCAGAAAAGTGACCTACCTGCCAGAACCAGCTACCTTGTAATATGCAGAGGCTTGTGCGGAGCATCTCAAGCACAATACTGCCACGGAAGAAAACTTCCAGAAATATGCAAACAGCAGCTCCAAAGATTGCAAATAGCAATAACTGATGAACATGAACATCCAGCATGGCTCTCCCATGAAGATGGTAGCAAAAGAGAAAACCTGGAATAAACAAAGCGACGAGTTAAAGATACCTTCTTGCCTTGTAATCTCCCTGCATCTGCTTTTAGAAAACAGTGAACCTTTAGCATTTCTCTTTATGCCAGTATCACCTTCTCAGTTGAACTGAGAGTAATTTTTTTAAGAGTGATGCCTATGTACTGTGTACTCTTGAGCTCAGAGCAGGAAATTGCATGGAAAGCTGCAGCTCTGTCACCTTTCATTTAAAACACATTAACTAAACATCTCATTCATCTGTCTCTGCAGTGTAACAAGAGGGATGCTATGAGATATACTGCATGTACAGAAGACATAAATTGAGAGTGTCTCCAGTGCAATTCCAACATGTGATTGATGTACAGGTAAATAAATGCACTCACGCCGGCTCTAGCTAACGAGTTGCACACCATGTCAGTACACACATTGAAGCACATGCCTGAGCTGCTGAGCACTTACCCAAAATAGGCTTGTGCTGCTACTTTCATAACATTTCATAACATTTCTGTAGCTACCAGAGCCAGTTAGGAAAGCACAGGTACTCCTCTACAACGTGTGACCCTGCTCTGGGCTGCAGTGCAGACAAAAAGACTGATCTTTTTTAAACATTTCAGGGTCTTAAGCATCCAGCTCCTGTTAAGGGTGATTCGAGGTTCCCAGTCCAAAGACTGATACCCTTCTGCAAATTTCACATGCACTGACCTTCAATAAACACTGCTAAGGAAAGCATCATCCTGTCCATGGCCACTGGCAATGCATTGGTCCCGTGAGCCACAATGTCAACCAGCCCTGAAATGCCATAGAAGAGGTACATGGTGGCATGTTGCCAGTTCATCAGGTGATCCCAGTGCTTTTCCTCGTAATTATACAACTTCAGATGAGGTCCATCGGGAACAAACTGCTCAGCCACCATTCCTGTGCATGAAATAAGAAGTATAACTGTTTGTCCTGGTGCTTAAGGTATAGACTGATGATAAGTCTTTATACAAACAATAGAAGCAACAGTATATCCCCACATAGCATAACACCAGTCAGTTTGGGGTTTAGTCTGGCTGCCTGAGGATTGCTCTGGGTGATTGCTATGTTTTGCTCCCTTCTGCCCAGTTCCGCCATTCACAGTCAATTTTTTAACATGTTGTTCAAATTCAAGTGAAAACGCACAGAGGTCTCAAAGATATTAATTTTATATCAATTTTCAATAAAACAGGCAGTGGGTAGAGGAGAGATGGAATAAATTGCTCTGCTGAGGGAAAGACCACAGAGTGAGCTCAAACATATATTAAGCATCACATAATCCGGAGAGGAGAAAGCCAGAGGAAACCAGGCTTCAGCTCTACTCCTGGTGGGACTATTTGCATGTTGCAGTTTCCAGCAGTGAAAATGGAGACAACTATTCTATGCTGCTTTTTTTGTTAAACAATTGCTATTGTAGTAGTCCTCTGACTGAATTTTTCGGCTGCCTTTCCCAGTAGTTCAAACATGAGTATAACACATGCTAAAGTCCCCAAAAGAAGGATTTACCGTTTCAGTCCCCTGCAATATGCAATATGCAATATGCAGAGTTCAGACTCGTAATTCAAAGGGGATTTTTCCTATAAAGCCATAAAAGGAAATCGCTCCACCATGCAGAGTTATTAAAGGTCCCATGAGAATGTATACGGAGTTAGTATTTGAATTGCTGCTCCACTGCCTCCCTTACCTTGGCCCCTCGGTGTCTTGCTAACAAGCTGCAGTACTCCAGCAAGGGGAAGGCTGCTTTTAGGTATTTTATATGATCAATGAAGTTTGGGAAGGGTTTAAAATAAGTTATGCTTCTAAAACATTAGTTATATTGTTTATAAAGGTGGGCCAGCATCCTGCTGTATAAGTAGATAAGCTGCAGAGCAAATGCAGTGTTTTTCCATCTTTATTTCAAGTTTTCCTAACACAGAAACAACAAGTTTTTCTCCTTTTTCTGCTTTTACTGTTTGTCCTTGCCAGGCTTTCTTGTCCACATTTTTGACAGGAACTGAAATTACCATGAGTTAAAATAATACCTTTTTGTTTCAGGGTGACAATAAAAACACTAGGTGAGTGTTTTACCTGCCCAACTACCTCTACACGCTGACTGGGAGATTTGTAGGACAGATGTCCACACTCACACCTCAAAATGAATGCTATTATTTAGGTGTTGGTAATTTTACAAGGCATATCAAAGTGGATGTGTATGTATGTATATATATGTATGTACACACAACATCCCTTCAGGGCTGTTGTACCTTAACTGATACAACAGCCAGAGAGGAAGGAAAACCAAGAATAAGATTTTGGCACAGCCTGCCCCTTGATTAGAAAGCAGGCAACTCTGAGCGTCTAAAGAAGAGTAGTTAAGTAGAATCTAGAAATCCTAAAAATCGAGATGCTTTTTGACTTGCAAGCCAAATGTGCTGATGTCCTCAGGTCCCCTGTTATTTAGCTTACTTACTTTATAAAAGCGAATTGCTAACACACAGCCTGCTGGACTGTGAACAAGGACTAGGCACCTCCAGCCAACTGCACAGCTCACTAAACCATCCCCGTGGGATGGTGCCCAGGCCAGTCAGAAGGAGAAACAGCCCCCTGCTTCCTCCCCATTGAAACAGTCCTGTGGCAATAAGCTCTGGAGTTCAGTCTTTCTTTGTGAACACGTTCACTTTTGAATGACATGACTGAAGAAGCATCTGCATTTACATATTTCATCAATAATGCAGTGGAGACTACTGACATCTGATATGGCTGGGTTCAAAATAGAAAAGCAACATCCCCACAGCCCGGTGCTCCCAGCCTGCATGGGAGAGTCCCTTGCCTAAATACCTTATCTCCCCCCGTGAAGGAGTGAACAGCATATGAACACTGAGATGGATCAGATGTGAAGTAGTCAGGAGACCTCCAAGAAGCTCCAGAAGAGTGCTATGGATGGAAAACATGTTACTATGTCATAACTATGTAATTAATAGCAGTGGCCCCACTAGTTCTTAGATAAATGGTGTTTAAAGGACAAAATACCAAAATACAATGAGATATGTTTTATAAGAGAAAAAGATATAAAAAAAAAAAAAGCTAAAAGGCACAGCCTTTTTTTGTCTGCCCCAAGTCCATCTTACTTACCAATCAGGGCAAAGACAGCTTTGATGATCCCCTCAACAAACTCCAGGCGCTGAAATCCTGCCCTGGAACCAAGGTAGCAAGCATTCTTGTTTTTTCGACAGGCATACTTCAGTGGATACTTCACTGACCACCACAAGCCAAAAAGAAGGAAAAAACTTCCAGGGAGGGCATGCCCTTTGAAATTGCCCATGGTTTTCTACTAGGAGATACCTGTAAGTGAAACAAATGCAGGTCCATCAAGGGAATAGTAGAATTCTGTGGGTTATAATTTTAAAGCATCTTCTTGCATAAATCAAAAGGGTGTCACTGAATTAAGTGCTCACACTTTATTTAAAATTAAGTGTGGGTACTTGTCTTCTCTGGCTGTTCAAAACACCCAGCCAATCTCCCCAGTTTCACAGCTTTGCAGAACAAGAGTATGAGACCCAACCGCAAAGCAGCTGACCTGAAATGCAGAGCTGGCAGTTGGCATGTTTTGGTTCTTTCACCTTCAAAGAGGGTTTTATGTTTCTTTACTCCACAAACAGAAGCCAAGACAATACCTGGCTGAAGGAAAACTGAAATGTATACAGATCCGATGGGTAACAATTCACTAACAAATTCTATTTTGTATTTCAATCCGGATGTCTCATCGTGATTTACAAACATCAAGTCACACTCAATAGAAGAATTATGCACCCACAACTAGATAGATGCTATTAAGTACATCAAGTGCACTGAGTGATAAGGTTATTAGTTCATCATTGTTATACAGTCATTTAAAAGCAGTGCCATTAGTAAGACCTAGCAATTCTGGTCATCATCCCAATTTTTACGAGAGTTAAATTATCTCTAATAACTTCTTCATTAAAATGACAGTTCTAACATTAAATTGCAATTTTTCTTTAAGTTATTATAAATGGAGTTGTTGTGCATCGTGACCCAAAGGCATACTAAATCTCTGCACAGACAGCAATCAGGAATAACCACTTTAGAATCACTGGCAATCTGTACTTTCTGCTACCATAGTTGCTGACTTAAAAATCCAATCAGCACACTACACCGGAGCCATCTGGTTATGAATAGAACATGGAGGCTCTGGTATATTTTTCTTTTTGGTAAGTATTTCCTATGGTCAGCTCTGCATAAGAAGTTTTAAACTGTGGCTTGTGGGCCATGGAGTGGTTGCAGATGGTTCATGTAATGCTGTCTAGTCACGTAGCATGAGCCCTCTCTTATTTCTGGAGGCTAAACTCCACTGAAAGCATAATTTTTATTTTTTTTTTTTTTTTTAAGAAGAGAAACTTTTCCACATGCGTAGATCCTGAAGCTGCCATAAGACTATTACCCAACTGCATGAGGAGAGGTGTCCTGCCTAGCCACAAAGGAGAAGCAAATAAACACAACTGTTCGTGCGTAGCATGAGGCAGGCTGTGATTTAAATGGGGATGCTGAAGAGGCTCCTGTCCCGTTGCCTGTCCCCTCCTCTTCCAGAGCTGACCCTGAAAGTCCCCCTGGCTTGATGCCCGTGTGTTTTATTTGCAGGTGGGAAAGCAGCACTGCTCACTCTCAAGCTGAGCTCTCAGTGGTGTGGTTGTGCGGCTCAGCCCCACAGGTTAGACCCAGGCCCCGTGGTCTTGCAGAAAAGGTACCTCATTTCAGGACACCTTTAGTTGAAAGAGTCGGACTGGTTTGTGCATCACTGGCAGTACCCACTGTCCATCAGTTGCCTTAAAAAAGGGCACTGCTAGCGGGACCTGAAGTTTTAGCCAGTTGCCTAAACTTTGCTTTAAACTTTGAAATAATTATTTTGCTTTGAGAGCCTTAATTTCTGGTTCTTCTAAAACATGCTGGCCTCAAAGGTATTGCTGCTTTTTCAGACAGATTGGGTTTTTTTCTTCTTTGAATGAAAGGAAGAGGTGGGGAGTGCGGAGTGGCCGTGCCTCACCTTATGTCTGATCTCACTGAACACCATTCATTAGAAAGACTTTATTCATTAGATATTTTATTATTCACCACAGGTACATAGCACTCCAAATGAAAAGATTTACCCTGTACCCCACATCAAAGCAAGATACTGGATTGAAAAGGTAAATTAAATCTATGAAAAGCCTCCCTCTAAGAGAGTACAGCTGCAGTAAGACTCAAATGAAGAACAGTGTGTTAATGTCATCTGTAGTGCACAGTATACAAAACTTCAAAAGTTATTCTCAATCTGTAAATTCACACCTGGGTCATCTAGAGCTCTATTTTCTGCCCTTAATCTGGGTAATCCATAAAGATACTCTGTTTAAAACTACTTTTTGCTTCTAAAAAGAAGAGGAAAGAGGAAAAGACTCATACAGCAGTTACTGCTGCATATCCAATATAAACGAAACAGAAGCAGAAAAACTCATTTTTTGCTAGAAGCAATGTAATCACTTATTATTAGCTTTAGAGAGTGTAAACTTCAGTTGAGTTCATCCAACGATGTTGGGGGTTATTTGTAGGATTTCTCTAGAAAGAGACATGTCAGATCTGCCAGCCAGCTGTTGGGGCAGACCTTTAGAAAACTGAATCTCAACACAGTTGGCTTCAGAAAGGAGTTATGCGAGTTAAACTTTAAATCCTTAGTAAACATCATGACAGAGCTCGACTTCAATTGATTAATTGTCCCAATTCATGAATTTTCTCTCATCACGCCTGAGCATTTATTTCAGTGAGGCTAGAAGTCAACTGCCACCACCCACAGCTTTGATGTGGCTGAGAAGGTTTGCCTACAAGTAAACCAGGTGGTATCACATGGTTTGCGGGCATGGTTTGAGGTGTGAGGCAGGGGTGCAATGGGAGGTGAAAGGAGAAGAGGACAGGATGGCAGGCTGCTGCTTTTCCGCATTGCGCTTTGGCATCCCCCTGCTCAGCCCAGGACACAGCAGCTCCTGCCAGCTCCTCTGCACAGCTTGGGAGCCGGCCAGTTTTGATACCTCAGGTGCTATTTGTTGGATAAAGATGGCATCAGCGTGTTATGACAATGCTTCAGCATCAAAACTTCCTCGCTGCCCACCACCTTCCCTAAAGCACATCATCTGCCAGAGATGGAAGCAGAAAAAATCCTGAGCCTGTCCCACAGCCATGAGGTCTGCATTTGCCCATGGGAGGTCTGCCCATGCTCCCACCACTGCTCCCCAAAGCCACTCAGTCACACCAGGTGCTGCACACATGCCTGCACCCAGTCACCTGCTTGCACAACCTCACAGAATCACAGAATTTCCATTGGTTTTACTGCCTGAATCACAGAATCTTCTAGGTCAAGATCAAAGATCATCTTGTCCAACCGTCAACCTAACTGATAAAAATAGACACCCACACAACAAACAAGAAGCATCACCATCACTAAACCATACCTCCCAGCACTACATCAACCTGTCTTTTGAACACCTCCAGGGATGGTGCCTCAACCACCTCCCTGGGCAGCCCATTCCAATGTCTGATGACCCTTTCAGTGAAAAAATTTTCCTAATATCCAGCCTGAACCTCCCCTGGCGCAACTTGAGGCCATTTCCTCTCGTTCTGTCGCCTGTGACTTGGGAGAAGAGACCGACCCCCACCTCTCTACAACCTCCTTTCAGGTAGTTGTAGAGAGCAATAAGGTCTCCCCTCAGCCTCCTCTTCTCCAGGCTGAATAACCCCAGCTCCCTCAGCCTCTCCTCATAAGACTTGTGCTCCAGACCCCTCACCATCTTTGTTGCCCTTCTCTGGGGCAACCTCAACCCTGTCCAAATCCTACTCCTAACCCTGCCAAGGCAAAGCCAATGGTGCCAGTGCCTACAAGAAGCACGCAGAGAGTCGGTGTCACCCAGCCACAGTCCTCACCATGGATGACTGAGTTTGGCTTTCCAGCAAACACACATGTGCTCCCTGACCATTGCTAATCAACTCGCCCCTGTTATCTGCTGCAGGCACCCCCCAGGATCCCTGCAGGCTCACTCAGCTTTTCATGTTTCCATCCTGAAACCTCACTGCTCAGGGCCCTTCTGCCACCATCAGCCAGGGGGCTACAGCAGCCAGAGCACCAACAAAGGAAATTTTGGACTCTACCTGGGGAAAGCTCCCTCCTCACCAACCAGAAGGGCTTCCACCCTGAGTGAGCCCAGGAACCAGCAGATAAGACGCATGGGCTCTCCACAGCAAGTACTCCTCAAAATTCCACTCTCGGGGGGTGTGGAGCAACACCGAAGTCTGCTGTCAGGGTCCAAGGGCATTAGTTGCCCCAACCAGCCTCACCAGGAACCTCATCACAGCACCCCCACCCAGGGGGTCAGGTAGGAAAGGAGGGGAAGAGCAAATGCAGTTTTCATGTGAGCATTCAAGAAAAGGTGTGCATTTTGGTGGGTATTAAAAGCTGCCTTTTTGGCATGAAAATTATCTAACCCTGGCAGAAGAATGAAGGCTAGGTAAGAAACAGGCTTACGTGATTGATTTAAACATCTACTTTTTCAGGAGGGATATTTCATAGCACTTACTTGTTTGATTCCTGACCTCTTGAGGCTGCCTAAGTGGGGACTAAGGCAAGACTTGCAAGTGGTATGGAGAAACTAGTGATACCACCTGGTTACTCAGACAGCTTCTCAGCTGCTTCTTGAAGAACTAGATTAGTTTCCCTTTTTTCCACCTCCTCCCTTTAAAAAAAAAAAAAAAAAAGAGAGGGGTTTATGCAGGG